GATAGGCATTTAGATCCAAATTTATTTTAGCCCAGGTTAGAAAACAGCCTTAAGTGAAAACTTGTGATAGCATTTTTCTTGGGTTGCAATCCCAGGGAAGTAGAGTGAAGGAAAAAAATGAACTGGACAGAGATGGAAAGAGAGCAAATATAAGCAAGTGTGACTCAGTAGTCTACCACGTTTTCAAAGGGATCTTCTGAAATGAATGCCTCTCACAAAAGTCCATGAGGGAAAGGAGAATAAATCAGTTGTGACTTCTGTCTCCCTTTGATCAAAGTTATCTCCACAGGGATCACTTCTTTCATATCACAGGGTTGCTGTGATACCAGTAGAGCAATCTCCTTCAGTTACCAGCGGGAGACCCTGGGGTGGATAACCTTTTTTAAATGTGCATTTTCACTGGGCTCACCTGAAATCCCAGTCACTCAGGAGGCTGAAACAGGAGAATCACAAGTTCCAGGCTAGCAACCTGAGATCCTTAGTAACTTGAGCAAGACTATGTCTCAAAAATAAAAAGGAGATGTAGCTCAGTGGTAGAGTGTCCCTGGGTTTAATTCCTACTACAAAAATAAATAAATAAGATGCATGTTTACCTCAGTTACCAGTGTAAAAAGGACAAATGAAATTTCCATAAAAAAAGTTCTAAGATTTAAGTCTTTTAAGTATGGGCCAACAAAATCATAAAGAATATTACAAATTGAAAACATCTACATGAAAAATCAAATATTGTGGAATCAGCTAAGGGTAGAAAATTCTAATTTTAAATATATTTATGTATATTTATATTAGAAGATAGACTGAAAATTAAAGCAAGCATCTACATTTAGACCTTGGAAAAACAAAGTAAACCTGAAAATATGAGGAAAGAAAATTCAAAAAGAGAAAAACAAAGTAATGAAATTGAAGCAGAGATACAAAGAGAGGTGGTCAACAAAGCTAAAATTGGTTTCCTTTGAGTGTGCTCACAAAGCGGACAACCTGGAAAGACTGGGATAGGCTTGTAGCTCAGTGGTAGAGTGCTTGCCTACCATGGGTGAGGCACTGCGTTCAATCCCCGGACCATATAAAAACAAACAAATAAAATAAAGGTATTGTGCCCATCTAAAACTGAAAAAATATTTTTAAAAAAACTGGAAAGACTAATCGGGGGAAAATGGAGAAAAATTAGGAATGAGAAAGGGAACTATCAAAGCAGTAGTAAAGACTGGAGTACTAAAATAGAACTTTGTGACAACAAATTTAAAATATAGGCAGAAAGGTTAATTTGTTATAAAAATATACAAAATTTACCAAAATGGATTCCAGAAAAAACAGAAAACCTGAAGAGACCTATATTCATTAAAGAAACCAAAATAGTAGTTAAACATTAATCTCCCCAAAACATTTCTCCCCAAATGAGAATTCACCAGGCCCAGTTGGTTTTACAGGAGATTTTCCTATATTCAAGGAACAAAAAGTAGGAATGTTCACCCACTGATTTTAGTTAGCTTTGATTCAAAACCCAGCCATGAAAGTATTAGGAAAAAAATTACTGGCCAAATTCCCTAAATAAACATAGGTAAAATAGATCCTAAATAAAATATTAGAAAACTCAACTCATTTAGATCCAGTATATCTAGAATATGCTATTCTGTGTAGTCTATCCCTGGAATGTAAAACATTTTAACATTAAAAAGTCTATTAATGTATTTCACCACATATTCTAATACATGTGCATACACACACACACACACACACACACACACAGAGTCAACATCTGTTCATGAATTTTTTGTTTTTTCTTTATTGGTGCTTGGGATTGAACCCAGAGCTGCACACACATACTAAACAGGCACTCTACCACTGAGGTAAACCCCCAGCTCCTAAATAGTGATTTAAAAAGGAATGATTATAAACTGTGAGTAGAAAAGAAATTTCTTAACCTGAGAATGGCTGGCTACTAAAAAAAAAAAAAAAAATCACAGCAAACATAATATACTTCTTAGTGGTAAAAGTTATAAATACTTCCTTTGAGTTCAGCAATAAGACAAGTACACACACTTTTTTTCTTTCCACATTTTTTTATTGGTGCATTACAGTTGTATGTAAAGACAGGTTATTTGTTACACATTGTAATGTACACAACATAATAATATAATTTGGTCAATATCACCCCCCAGTACTTCCATCTGCATCTCTCACCCCAGTCTGTTTCCTCTACTGATTTCCATGAGATCCCTGCCTATGTACCCCCCACCTTTCTTTTCCTTTTTCCTCTGTAGCTTCTACATGTAAGAGAAAATACTCTCATTCTTGATCTTCTGAGTTTATAGCTTATTTTGCTTACCATAACGGCCTCAAGTTCTAACCATTTTCCTGCAGTGACATAATTTCATTTTTCTTTTTTTTTTTTTTTTTGCAGGGGGAGGTGTGTGCTGGGGATTGAACTCGGGTACACTCAACTACTGAGCCACATCCCCAGCCCTATTTTGTATTTTCTTTAAAGACAGGGTCTCACTGAGTTGCTTAGTGCCTCTCTGTTTCTGAGGCTGGCTTTGAACCTGTGATCCTCTTCTGTCAGCCTCCCAAGATGCTGGGATTATAGGTGTGCACCACCATGCCTGGCTCATTTTTCTTTATGGCTGAATAAAACTCCATTGTGTATTTGTGTGTGTGTGTGTGTGTGTGTGTGTGTGTGTGTGTGTGTGTGTTATATATCTTCCATTTTCTTTATCCATTCATCTGTTGATGGAAATTTAGGCTGGTTCCATAGTTTGGGTATTGTGAACTGTGCTGCTAAAAACATGGAGATATGATGATTTTCTTTTTTTTTTTTTTTGTTTTGGTACCGGGGATTAAACCCAGGGATGCTTAATCATGGAGCCACATCCCTAACCCTTTTTATTTTTTATTTCAAGACAGGATCTCACTATGTTGCTCAGAACTTTGCTTTGTAGCTGAGGCCGACTTTGAACTTTTGATCCTCCTGCCTGAGCCTCCTGAGTCTCTGGGATTAGAGGCCTGCACCATTGTGCACGGCTATGTCATTCTTTTAAAATCAAGGAAGGAGTTACTAAGTAAGACACAAAAAGCACAAAACATGAGCCAAAAGGAAAATGATGCACTTGGCTAATGTTCAAAAACAGAAAAAAGCTTCTAGTTTTTAGAAAATACCATTTAAAAAAAAGAATTCAAAGAAAAAGAGAGTGATGGAGCAAATAGACTAGCCATGGTCTGAAAAAAGATACTTGCAACAGATATAATCAATGAAAGGAAGATTAGTATCAGATAGAAATGTGTTTGTTCTAAAAATTACTTATAAAAACAAAAATACCACAACTGGGTGAAATATAAGAAATAGCAGTTATATCCACTGGCTTGAAAAATTTTGTGTAAGTGATGATCTGGTTATGAAGAACTTCTCTTGGTATGATTCACCCACAGAGAATAAAAACCTTGATCCTTTAGAGAAACTATAGTAAAATTCAATATAGAGTCAGTCTTCTCCAGTAAACTCAATCTAGCACTTACTATTTTAGATAGCTTTGATACAAAAACCCAACCATGAAATATAAAAAAAAAAAATTAATGGCCAAATTCCCTAAAGAAGCATAGGTAAAATAAATCCTAAATAAAATACTAGCAAACTTGGGCTGGGGATGTGGCTCAAGCGGTAGTGTACTCGCCTGGCATGCGTGCGGCCGGGGTTCGATCCTCAGCACCACATACAAACAAAGATGTTGTGTCTGCCAAAAACTAAAAAATAAATATTAAAAAATTCTCTCTCTCTCTCTCTCTCTCTCTCTCTCTTAAAAAAAAAAAAAAGAAATATTAGCAAACTCAATACATTTAGATCCAGTGTATCTGGTATATGCCAGTATTCCTTAGGGGAGAGTTGGATCCTCCCATCTCAGAAGTAGATACCATTTTTCTTATTTATTCTTTTGAGACAGGTTCTTGCATATTCAACAGTCTGGCTTCAAACTCCTGAGCTCAAGCAATCTTCCTGTCTCAGCTTCTTACATACCTGAGCTATAATATCAAGCTTCTTATTTTGTTCCTTATTTTTTCTTTTTGGCTCTGCTGGAGATAGAACCCAGGGCCTCAGGAAGCTCTGAGGAGCCAAGACCCAGTCCCCTATTTTATGAGAAATTTGAAATAACCTGCCTAAGACTGCCTAACCCCAGTGATCAGTGAAGCCAAAATCTGAACCAGCCAATCTGGATTGAGAAATACTGCATTATGCTGCCTCTTTCAGGATTATAGTTGTAGTAACATAGCAAAATTTCTAGGCTAGCTCCATTTTTAAGTGTTTTGTAGCATTATCCTCTATATAACTCAAGATTTTCAATTTATGTGTTCTGATTTTGAAATTTTGAAAATAGATTTACTGTGATTATTATGGGAAAAGGAGCCAGAAGATCTAATGCCATTCTCAACTGCCTCTAGATTGAATAATTGAAGATGAATTTCTTCCTCTAAGACATGAGAACAATAGACAATATTCCTTGAGGTCCTTTTTGACTCCAAAAGAGAATAAATTATCCTTCAAAAGATGCCCACAATAATAATTCAATACTACTCAAGGAGAGGAAAAGATTTAAAAGTAAAAAACAAATGAATACTATGCACTTAATTAATTTTGATATCTTAAATCTAAGTCTATGCTCTTAGAAAATACCTCAATGCTCATAAAAATGTCTATGGACTAACTCATCAAATAGTTTTATATAAGAAAATTAAAGAAGCCGGACTCAGTACCACACAATTGTAATCTCAGCTATTTGGGAGGCTGAGGCAGGAAGATCACATGTTTATGATCAGCCTGGGCAATATAGTGAGCCTGTCTCAAAAAAGAAAAAAAAAAAAACCTAAAAGGGCTAAGAATGTAGCTTAGTGCTGAAGTGCTCCTAGGTTCAATCCTTAGTATTGCAAAAAAAAAAAAAAAAAGATTAAATCAAAATAACCTTTCCTAAATTGCTATGTGATATCATAATATTCCATTTTTCTTTAATTTTTAGAAAGTTGGAAATAAACAATATCTGAACCTGCTTCTGGACATGATATCAAAACAGAGCTATTGCTGAGAGTTTGGTTTATAGAGAAATCATGGTTCGACTGACCTTGGAACTAATTGCCAAAAACAGCAATCTTAAACCCCGAAAAGAAGAAACCATTGCACAATGCCTGAAGAAATTAACTCATATAAATTTTTCAGACAAAAATATAGATGCAATTGTAAGAACTCTGAAATTATTTCTTATTTTTATATAATTAACAATGTAATGTTTAGAAATTGGTCTGAGGGCATATCTAACATATTAACTCTATTATTAATTAAATTTATCAACTGTATTTCTTCCAGTAAGCTTTATAGTATGTTTTCATTTTAATTTCCTCCTGTGATATCAAACTTATTTTCTATAAAATGTACCATTGTGATTTTCATGAATTATATGTTAGATATTATTGTTACTGTTCCCCTACAGTACTCTATGGATTTGAAAATAATTTCAGAGATGTTTTTGTATTATTCCAGAGCCTTGGAATATAACATTTTAAATATCAAAATGTTATGAAATAACTATGTGACTATGTTCAACTGTGGGGGTAAGGATATAACTCAGTGGTAAAGATGTGTGCTTAGTATGCCCAGGACCCTGGGTTGGATCCTAAGCAACAACCACCCACAAAAAAAAGTTCACCTGAAATTTTTTGCACATAATTTAACTGGTTATGTGTGTGTGTGTGTGTGTTAGATTAGTTTAATTTTTAAAAAATATTTTTTAGTTGTAGATGAACCCAATACCTTTATTTTATTTATTTATTTTATGTGGTGCTGAGGATTGATCCCAGTGACTCACACATGCTAGGCAAGCACTCTACCACTGAGCCACAACTGCAGCCCCGAGAGTGGTTTAGTTTTATCAGACAAGAATACGTTTACTTGGATATGTTCTGAAATTACATTTTCTCGGTGCTAAGGTAATTCTTTCTTGGCTTTAATTTAGGAAACTGTAAAGGCTGAAATAACTCTTTGGGATCATTTGTATTGGTATCTGTAGACCCTAGTATGTCTTAAAGACTACAGATGAGAGAAAATTTCTCAGAAACATAGAAACTATATGAGGGCAAGGATCATGTCCCTATTTTACACACATCATTCTAAACCCCCTATCCAATATAATACCTGACTCATGTTAAAACCTTTGTCTAATGAATGGCTGAATGAAATACCAAAGCCCCATTAAAAATATTTTGAGTGGGAAAAGCATAGCAAAGCAGTAGATCATTTGCCTAGCATGCAAGGTCCCGAGTTCAATGCCTAATATCGAAAAAAATGTTTTGTTGTTGTTGTTTTTGTAGATCCACAATCCACTCCTATGTTCTATCATTTATGGTTCCCTGATGATCCTTCTCTTCAAGGATTCAGCTGCCCCAAGCCTCCTGTTTCTCTTTTGTTGCTCAGAAAGTCCCAAAGAGCCCTTATTAAAGGTTTTTTGTCCTCAAAACAATCTATACGTATTTCTCCAGCTTGTATGATCTTTGTCAGGAGGAAAGCTAACTAGTGAAAAGTAATCCAAATGAGAAGAAATTATAAAATGAGAAGTTATAAACTTAAAAGTTCCCAAAATGTGATGTTAATGAAGACTGACACTTTTTTTGAGCAGAATTTCCCTCTCCCTTATGTAGGGAGAATTACTCTAGGGTAATTCTGCCACCATTCAAGAAATAACAATCTTTTAAAGAAAAACAACAACAAAAAAAACACTTTATTTAATTTATTTGTATATGGTGCTGAGGATCGAACCCAGGGCTTTGCATGTGCTAGGTAAGTGCTCTGCTACTGAGTCACAACCCCAGACCCAAGAAATAAAAGTCTTTTAAAATTAACTTCAAATTTTTTCTAATCTCAGAAGTAATTGGTGTTTAGCTGGATGTGGTGCCATGCATATATGATCTTATTCACTTGGGAGGCAAAGGCAGGAAGATTAAAAATTCAAGGCCAGCCTCAGCAACTTAGTAAGACCCTATCTCAAAACAAACTAAACAGGACTGGGAGTATAGTGCAGTGGTTGAATGCCTAGCATGCACAAAGCCTGGATTTGATCCCCCAGCACAGAAAAAAAAAGTTTTTGTAATAAATATAAATAATAAGAAGGAATGTAATCCTACCATTTAGAGATATTTATTTTTAATACTTAGGTGATGTCCTTCCAGTTTTTTCTAGACATGTAGTAATATATTTTCCAAAACTGGGTCATAAATACATTTAATTATGTATTATTAAATCTTTAAGATATTACTATAGAAATAATAAGAGTATTTAATGGTTTTACAATAGCATTATATTTTTAATTAATCCATTATTCTTGAATATTGGATGACTTCTGATTTTCAGTATTATAAGCTGTTTACTTCCAAACATACAGAAAGAGTAAGCCTGGCTTTATTTTACTTATTTATTTTTTAATTTATTTTTTAGTTGTAGTTGGACCACAGTATCTTTATTTATTTATTTTTAGGTGGTGCTGAGGATTGAACCCAGGGCCCCACACTTGCTAGGCAATCACTATACCACTGAGCCACAACCCCAGCCCCAAGCCTGGCTTTATAATGTTGGAACAATAATTTGTTCAATGCTTCTACCTTCAGAGGATCCTAATTGCTTCCAAGGAAAATTGCTCGCACTGGGAAAAATCTTAACAAATACAATTTTACTGATATAATTACAGAATGTTAAATCCTAGAACTTATTTTGTTAATCACTCTAGTCTCATTTTGACTGCCAAGAATAGAGAAATATTTTTCTTTCTTTTATATAAAGGGAAATTTATAGAATGTTCATATGAAAAATTTTCTGAAAAACAAAATTCTAAGATTTTAGGAAATTGACTGATTGTTGTTTTCCTTTTAGGAAGACCTCTCTTTTTGCAAAAATCTTAGCGTTTTATATTTATATGATAATCGTATTAGTGAAATCACTAACCTGAATTATGCCACAAATCTGACCCATCTATACCTTCAAAACAATTGTATTTCATATATAGAGAACCTCAGATCATTAAAGAAACTGGAAAAACTGTAAGTGCTTTTATTTTTTTAATAATATTAACTGCTTGTCATCCTTACTGTATATATTTTATGCAGGCAGGCATTTCCATTTTCTGCATTAAGTTTCACAAGTAAATTTAATGTGTAATTGAGTCTGATTTTCACATATATTTTGTGGAACAGGCCTCGATTTTTATTTTCTTATATAATATTATTCATATGAAATAAGCTGTTTCACAGGTAATATTCAACAATCTATGTTTTACTAAGCTTTTTTGGTGGGGTAAGTTGTATTGTGAGCTTATAGGGACACCTAAAACATCCTCATGTGACTTAACTAGTGAAAAAAGTTTCCATGGAGCCCAGATAAGTTCTGTGCCTTTCAGAATCACATCTCAAAAGGTCAAGCTCATAAAGTTGATCGTGTTCACATATATTTCATTGTAAAACGGCATTTACTACCTATAAGATCCAAATTCACAAAAGGGGACCAATGGCTTTGTAATGGGGACAATAAGAGTGGGTTGGTGAATGCTCATTAAAAATGCAGATTACTGTGTTCCAACCTAGATATCTAGAATTTCTGGGAGTTAAGCCCCCAAATCTTCATTTTTAAACCTACAACCCAGGTGACTCTCTATACCCTAACACATGAAAAGACCTGGTAGATAGTTTACTATGGACTGTTTCAATTCTCACTTTTAGAAAAACTAAAGATGTATTTTTAGACTAATTTAAGTGTAAAAATATAATTTATTGTTATTTAGATAAACCTTTCATAGATTCAATATAAGCACAGTATTCTCTGTATATAGTTTTCACACAGTTGAATGATGTCTTACACTTTTATCATGTATAAAAACCATGGCATTCTCAAAGTCTATTTAGAATTATGTCTATGTTTCAGATATCTGGGAGGCAATTACATTGCTGTCATAGAAGGTTTGGAAGGATTGGAAGAACTAAGAGAACTTCATGTTGAGAGTCAGAAGCTTCCCCTTGGAGAAAAGCTTCTATTTGATCCAAGAACTCTTCGTTCTCTGGCAGTAAGGCCATACTTGAATATTTTGACAAAGAATATAGTGGTTATAATGAAATAGGAACATGGGAAGGAATATTTGGACACTGTACATGCTCTTTCTGTTTGTGTGACTGGTTGTCTGCTTGAGGACTGAAGCTGATTTTCCCACATAATGTCTCAGAATCATAATACTATAAATAGTAGTGCCCAACTCTTAGAGTAAATGGATATGAAAAGGTTATGTAAGTTTAGGATATGAAAAGGTTATGTAAGGTTATTTAAGTTCTAATACAGATGTTAATTCATTCATAATTTGGGCCTTGGTGATTCCTGTGGCTTAAAATTTTAAATTTTAGGGAAAAGCCTAAGGAAAAAGGAATGTACAATTATTTGGCAGCTTTTAAACAATGCAGAGAAATTAACTATTTTCTATCCCATCCCCCCCATAATCAGCTGTCAGCAACCACCGCTCAACCTCACCTGATCCAATTAGACTGACCACACTGTGGGGATGGCTACTTTTACTGGAAAACACCACTGAACAATTTTGCTAGCTCAATTTTTACATAAATTCAAGCAGATCTGAAATTCTAAATATGAGGCATAATTTTTTTTTCAGTTTTATTTCGGGTCTTCAAATTTATCAGGAAATATATTTTCTAAATTGGTATGTGTAGATCCTTAGTGGTAGACTCGATCTTGGTAGAGATTTCTGTGCCTTAGAATTAAGATGACTTTAATTTAGTGTTGCCATATTGTATATTTATATCCTCATTAATAGCTAATATCACGATTCTTACTAATTAGGTTATTACTATTTCAAGTGGCTTTTGAATATATAGACAGTAAAGAGAAACCGCTATAGAAAGGCAAATACAAATATAAAAGCCAGATATTTGTTCATGCTTGGTCATGCTTCCTCTTCAGAAAAACACAGATAAAAATTATCTCTTCCTATGTAAAGCATAAATCTTAGTGGTATTTAGCACAAAATATAATTTGTTTAAATTGCAATAAGCATTTTTATATTTTTAACATTGTGTTTGGAGGGTATATTTTTCTTTTTTTATTCTTGGCTTCTTTATTCTGTATATTAATCTTGTATTATGGAAGTGGAAAATAAGACTTATGGAGAAACTACAGGCAGAACCCAAATTTACATCACATACTAAGTTCTGAAAGTTCCATCTGAAAAAAATATAGCACTAAAACAAAATCTCCATGATTTTTATTTTCTTGCATAAAAAGCAAAACAACCTGATAAATCTTTAAAAACTTCTTAAGAATTAGGATTTCTGGTTCCTATGTATAGTATTTAAACTATTTACTAATGCTAATTTAGTTATTTTTCTTATAGAAATCCCTCTCTATACTGAATATCAGCAACAACAATATTGATGACATAAGAGACTTAGAAATACTGGAGAATCTTAATCACCTCACAGCAGTGGACAACCAAATTATACATATAAAGGTAGTATAAAGAAAAATTAATTTTAAAATATTTACATGAAATGGTTATAGAAAAGTATGTTTTGAAATATATATATATAAAATCTATCACTTTTAAAATCTAGTTAAGATCCTTTTTAAAACTATCTTATAAATCTCTACTTTTTAATATATTTATTTGTATAATTCTATGACCTGGTTTTCTTCTCCATATCCCAATTCCTTCATCTTTTACCAATAGAATAAAACTTTCTCTGAGAAGAAATTATATGCTTTTTCCTGTCTGCATCATGTATCCATGAAACTTTTCCTTCTAGACTATATTTCTTGCCCTTAACTTTGATCTCCCAATGAATGAACTTCTAGTAACTGTGACTACACCTGAGTGTTCTCCTGGTTGCTCCTATTTGAAGAAGTATCCTGAGTGTTGAATTTGTTCTAATTTGTACTAGCTATATTTGTGCCATGTTATATCATATTTTGCTCATTCATTCAGTTACTCATTTATTTGAATATGTATCGAGTGCCTACATATGTATCAGACACTGTACCACAGAGGAAGGAACGATTCAGTTCCAGGCCTCAAAAAACTTACAGTAAAGGAGAAATGATACTACAGTGTCATTCTGTTTAGTATGGTAACCTAACATAACAGCCTAGGGCTAGGAGAGGCTTCCTGGAAATAATTACCTGTGAGCTGAGCCATTGCTATGACCTCAAAGTTTCTGTTTTGGCAGTAGGATGCGCTGTGGTATTATTTCTTGAATATTGACATAGGAACCACAGGAGAAAGTATGGGCTTCTTTATCCCACAAACAGAGCTCATATATTCAGAACTACTTTCAAACAGCATCAGCTTTATTTTCAAATTTAGATCTATTAACTGATCCATCCCATAACTGCTATAAGTAAAAGCTCTGAGGCTAAAGAGAGTTTGGAGTGTCCAAGGAATCAAAAAGAGGCCAGTACACTGTAATAGGATCCCAGCTCAATTTCTGACATAATTGCAGTTGCTCAATAAATAATTGTTGAGTGAATAATGAGGCAACAGAATAATGTGATATTAGAAAGAAAAGTATATGGGCCAGATCATAAAGGTCCTTTTAGGACATAATCATGAGTTCTAATTTCATTCTAAGTGCACCACAAAGCCATCAAAAGGATTATATTTTTCAAAAGGATTTCTCTACTATGTGAAAAATGAGTTTCAAGAGTGACAGCAAAGATATCAGGAGACTGTTGTAGAAGCTAAGTAAGAGAAGATGTAAGAGAAGATGGTTGCTTAGTGATGAAGTAGAGTGGGTAGATTGGAGGTATATTTTTAGATAGAACTCCTGGAACTTATTTATGAGTAGGATATAGAAATGAGGCATATAATAGGCATATAGAAATGAGAAGAATCAAGGTTGACTAACAGATTTTTGTGTTGAGGAACTGGATAGACAGTAGAAGCCTTTATGAATTGGGGCTACTAGGGAAGGAATAAATTCCTTCTCTTGAATTGCCTATTGGATATTGAAATGGACATGTCAAATAGACATCCTGGAATTCAATGGAGAGGTAAGATGATAAGTTTGAGAGTCAACAGCCTTCATATGATATTTAGAGCCATGGGACTGGGTGAATAAATAAGATCAAAACCAAGCACAGAAATACACCAACATTTAGAAACTATTTAGAAGACTATTTGGAGTACAGGGGTATTGCATTGTTTTTTGAAATATCTTTCCATGTGACATGGTTTGAGTTTGTCCCTCAAAGGTTCATGTGCTAGAAACTGGGTCCTCAGTGTGGAAGTGTTGAGATGGGAGAACCTGGTAAAAAAGTGGGTTGTGGCTCAGTGGTAAGCACTTGCCTAGCATGTGTGAGGCACTGGGTTCAAGTCTCAGCACCACATATAAATAAATTAAATAAAGATCCATCAACAACTAAAACAAAATTTTTTTAAAGTGATTAGGTCATTGAGGCCCACCTTCAGAATGGATTATATTCTTGAGGGACCTAGGTTAATTGAGAATGAGTTGTTATTTAAAAAAAAAAAAAAAAGTGAGCTTGTCCCCTGAATCTCTTGGCTTCCTGTCTTACAATGTGATCTCTCACTTTTGAATTGTGCTCCCACCATGATGCCATCTGACTTGTGATATAGTCAGAAAGTTCCCACCAAAGCAAAGCAGATGCTATCACTATGCTCTTAGACCTCCAAAATTGTGGCCTAAATGAATCTCTTTTTTTTTATACCTTACCCAGCATCAGGCATTTTGTTATAGCAACAGTAATTGGTATATATTATACATCATATACCATTTTATAGTTTAAGAAACTTCTTTCAGGGCTTATAAGGGAAATATTTTCCCTATACCTGAACTTTCAATGTATAAGCTTAAAGGGCAAGAGGAGGGAAAATTAAAAGACTGCCTAGATAGAATACTTTAACAACAAACTTATAAGGGACAAGTTTAATCTGTGAAGAAGTTGAACGGGAGAGGCTGCGGGTTAAAAACCACAGCCGACGGTAATGTTGAAAAAATGACAATTTAGTGAAAGACTAAATACTGAAATGTTAAAGGGCCAGTGCTTCCCTCCCTCTCATGCTCTACTTCCAAAACCTTGCCTTTTGTGGCTTAAAAACCCTAAGCAAGAGTTGAAGGACTGTGCTTTAGGGAACCTGACTATCAAGAGAAAACATATCCAATTTTAGTACTTAAAGGTCCCACAGGGAAAATAACAGATGCCTGACCAATTACTGTATCATAAGACCAGCCAGTCAATAAACTTGAAGCGCGCGCGCACACACACACACACACACACACACACATACACACATACACCTCTTATTAACTTTGTTAAATGACTGGACAGCTCAAGACCAGCAGACAGGTGAAAAGAGCTTCTAAAACCAGAGAGAGTGAAAAAGAAAACTCAGAAGAAATGGATCACATAGAAGCAGAAAAAAAGTAAAATTCCCACTAAATCCCACAATTAATATCCTAAGAGAAAAAACATTCACAACCTTGAAATAAAAACAGAATTCCATTATTTATTTACTAAAGTAACATTAAGTAAATAAGAGAGAAAACTTAGAAATTAAAATAAGATAGGAAGCTGGTCACAGCGGTGCACACCTGTAATCCCAGTGGCTCAGGAGGCTGAGACAAGAGGTTCCCAAGTTCAAAGCCAGCCTCAAGAGCTATGAGGCGTTAAGCAACTCAGCGAGACTATCTCTAAATAAAATATAAAATAGGGATGGGGATGTGGCTCAGTGGTAGAGTGCCCCTGAGTTCAATCCCTGGTACCCACCCCCAAAAGGAGAAATTGAATATTCATATAAAGTTTAAATGATAAAATTGAAGCAATCTTCCAAAAAAAATAAATAAATAAAAAGAATGGAAAATGAACAAGTAAAAAAGAAACTTAAATTAATTCAAGAAATCCAACATATGACTAACAAGAGTACCAAAATCAGAGAATAACTTTGTGCTGCTGTAACAAAATACCTGAGATTGGGTAATATTTTTATTTTAAATATTTATTTTTTAGTTGGATACAATATCTTTATTTTACATTTATATGGTGCTGAGGATCGAACCCATGCATGTGCCTCATGCATGCTAAGCGAGTGCTCTACCACTGAGCCACATCCCCAGCCCCAGGCTTTGTAATTTATAAGAACAGAAATTTATTTCTCATGGTTCTGGAGGCTAGGCAGTTTAAGATCAAGGCACCAGCAGATTTAGTGTCCAGCTCTCTGCTTCTAAGATTGCAGTTTGTTGCTGGATCCTCTAGAGGAGATGAACACTGTGTCCTCATGTGGTATAAGGGACAGAAAGAGCAAACTCAGCCTTTTATAAGGCATTCATGAGAACTCTACCCTTATGAATTATATTCACCTCCTGGGTCCATCTCATAATTTATCACATTAACAATTAAATTTCAACATATGGATTTTGGGGGATATATTTGGGCCATAGAAATAGTTGGTGGGGGCAGAGGGGAGTAGGGAAAGAAAATTACATTGAAAAATTATATAATGGGCCATAATGTAGTAACCGGGACCAGAATCACTCTCCACAAAACAAAAAACTAGCCAAAATATGTGAAACACTTTTTCGGACATTGAAAAATGGGCATCACAGGCCTCTGTTTCCTCATAGAAGGAGAACAAATCAGGTAAGCACTATATTATCTCAGCTGTTTGCCTGAAGATACTTTTCAGACCACTATGCATGGAGAGAGACATCAAATAAGAACCATGAATATGTAAATCATAACTGGAGAAAGATTCATTAAGGAAAAAAGTACCAAAACTGGCAATTGACAGTGGACTTTATATACATATATATTTAGTTGTAGGTGAACACAACACCCTTATTTTATTTTTAATGTGATGCTGAGGATTCAACCCAGTGCCTCACGTGTGCGACTGAGCCACAGCCCCAGCCCTAAGACAGGACTTTTAAAAAGCTATTATAAATGTACTTCCAAATTTAAAGAAATCATGAACACAAAAAGATATATAATAGGAAAAAAAGGTACTTCTAAAGCTGAAAAAATATATCTAAGATGAAAAATTCATTGGACTGAATTAAGAGTGAAATCAAAAGATACAGCATAAAAAAAGATATAGCATTAGACCCATACAAACTGAAATGTGGGAAGAAAAAAAAACACTAAAAAAGAAAAAAAAGAAAAGAAAAATGAGCAGAACCTTAATGAACTGTAGTAGGTCATTACAAGCATTCGAACATTTAGTTCTAGGAGGAGAAAAGGAGCAAGAACAGAAAATACCTTTGAAAAAATAGGTACCCACAGCAGTCAAAACTATCTTGAAAAGAACAACAAAATTGGAGGATTCACACTTTCCTATCCAAAATTTACTGGAAATTTTTGTCTAGTTCAAGGTCATAAAGATTTATATCTCAGGGCTGGGAATGTAGCTCAGTAGTAGAGTGCTTGCCTGGTTTGCCTTGTACAAGGCCCTGGGTTTGATCCCCAGTACCACCATCACGACAAGAATTTTTATCC